AGGGGACCTCAGAAATGAATCTCCAAAGAACTCTTGGAGAAATCAGCCTTAAAAAAGCCAGCAAGTTCATGGGCACCTGATGACCTGTGCACACTTGTTTAATACTCTGCTGCTGCTGCCTTGACATTTTAGATTCTTTTTCAGCAAGGGACCTATTTTTCATTTTTGTTTTGCAGTGGGCCCTACAAATAACATAACTGGTTCTGTGTGCCAGACTGAGAGAGGGCAAAGCTTGCTTACAATGGTACCAGTTGGATAAGAACTGTTTTGTCCTTCATGCGGAGACTGACTTGGGGGATGGAAGAGGAAAACAAGATGAAATAGGGATACTGAGCTTGCTGCTTTCAACCTAAAGAAAGCTTGACTTAAATTCAGGATTTTGATTAAATTCATATTTCTGAATTGAGTTAGTGTTTGCAACTTACAGTAGCCATAGTTCTGTACAATTATTAAAGGTCAACAGAAACACTGTGAGACTTAAATTCTTCCTGGTATTAAAAAGACAAACCATTATTATTTAGTGAAATATTACAAAGTAAGCAATGGAGGGAAATCATATCTGGTAAAAAAAGAAAGTCAGTTGTAGATTTAAAACTATTCAGTTGATTTTGAATGTATTTTCATTAGTAGTATAAACTATGTTTTAAAATGGATGGGGACATTTTCTGGAGTCACTGTATTTACTTGAAATAACTGAGGAAGAGTTAAGGTAATTACTTAGGTGAGGGTTGGAAATCTATTATCATTATTTCACTGTTAGCTGTTGTGGTAAAAAGTTTAATCCCACAGAACAGGTTCTGAAACAACTAATAATGCTCACCATTTTAGGAAATTAAGATTATATCCTAAATTGACGTTCTGGGATTACAATATATAGGCATTAGTTTTATTGAATATCTTGTTTTCTTGCACAACCAGGAATAATAATTATGTTTGTTGTTTCTTTGGAATTAGAACATGATTTCTGGCTCTGTGCCCCAGGGGCAGTTAATTATGGTCAGTAATGTCTCAAGACACAGTATCCTGAAATGCTAAATATAATGTCCAGAGATTAAGTTGCTAATAGACTTGACTAAGAGTGACAACATGAATGAAAAAAAATTTATTCATACATAGGTAATGTAGTAGGAAACAAATCTGACAGTGAAATAAGAGGAAACTTTCCAGAGTACTTTAAGTATTCCAGTTTCAGGTGGCATCAGAACATGGCATCAGAACAGGTATCCTTATGTGTTATTAATACAAACATTTTGGCTTACAACTTAAGACATTTGTGAAAAAAGGAAGAGACAATTAGTACTGAAAACAATAGCAATGGACGCTTCTACTACTAACCTAGATTTAAACTAAACTCTTTGGAAATTGCTTTATTAATCATCTAGGATATTCATTAATTATAGCTGTAGACTTATATTGTCATATCAGAAACCAACTGTGACAGAGACTGAATGGCTGTTCATCAAAATTATTTCTTCACCTTCCTGGACTGGAATTTGTTTTATGGCCTGCCTTGTAGTTAGGTGGCTTGGGAGAGCTCAAGCCAGTGGAATGTAAATGGAAGTGAGATGCATTAAAACCTTCCTTGAGTGATCCTTCATGCATTTCTCTGTTCTGCCAGCTTGATATGATTGTATGTTAACATTTCGGAACCCTAATGTGGATGAAACTTAGTCCCAAAATTAAATACTTACAGATTTTCCTGTCATTCAGAACTTCACATGTATGAGCAACAAACAACTAATGTTGTGTGCCTATATAAATTCTTGTATTTATTTGTGATAGTAACCAGTATTGACAAATACATTCATATTTACATTAAAGGAATTTTAGCTTGCTGACCAATATGACCTATACTTCATCACAGACAATTTGCATAATAAGCAGTCAAAGTAGTTGTAACTGTCATGTCACAAATGAGGAAAATAAGTCAGAAAAGTTAAGTAACTTGCCTGAGATAAAATTCTGCTGAGAGAGGACTTGAACTCAGTTTGCAAGTCTCCAGTGTGTGGTCATGACCTTCCCAATAAGCCATTTTATATCTCAAGAGGAATGTGCACTTAGGACACAGATTTCTTTGTCCATTCATTCATTCAACTTTTATTCTGTGTGTACTTGATGCCATGTCCTATCCTAGGCACTGGAGACAAGACATCCTTTCAGTCAACACAGAGAGGCAGTAACTCAATTTTTGTTACCCGATGTACAGATATACTAAATGTACCTTCCAGTTTAAATCACTCCCAAGAAATGGTGGAAGTACTAAGAAATACCACTTAGTACTCAATTTACTCATTGATAGGAAGAGTGAACCCTTCTCTTAAAATGCGCGAATTGCTATTACTGAGAAAACTTATCCTAAAGAACAGTTGACTTAATAAAAAAAGGGAGGGCTCGCCCTCCAAACTTAGGATCCTATGGATGAACATGCTGCTGTTCCCTGTAATTGGGAAGCCCTGACAATGAAGAACAGGAGAAATCTAGTGTAAACTCTATGGAATATGGTTAAAACACAATTGACAGATTCTGCCAAATTCATAATGGTACTAAGAGAAAAAACAATGCTATTTAAATAAATAAATAATTTATCATAATTATATAATGAAAGTTGACATGCTTATCTTATGGAATTTATGAAGCTACTAAAAAAGAACAAATTAGAGCAGAAACAAAAGTTTACATTTTTTTCCAACACATGAATCCTAGAATATATGATGCATTTTAGTTTGCACAGTACTTAATTTTAGGGTTTAATGTATCTACGGCATAGTACAATCTGATGAGATTAGGAGAAATATTTTGAGGTGGATGGCTCATAAGACAATTTGTTCTTACATATTTCGCGGTTAAAGTTGGAAATCAAAGTTTCAATTGATAAAAGATATGGAGTAATTCAGAACACAGGTGTCAGAGTTTAGTATTTAAGGGAGCTTCAGAGACACTAGCGTTGGTATAAGACCCTGTTATTTTCTTAAAAATAAAAAGTGGGTTGGGTTACTCTTCTACTATAGAATAAAAATCTGACCCATTTTTTTGTGTCTTACAGCAAGGAACTTGTAACCAAATCATTTTACCACTAGGGACAGTTAGAGGTCTGATAACTATGGGAATAAACTATGTATATTTATACATAAATAAACTGAATTGAGTTAGAATAGTCTCTGATATAAATCAGTTTAGGACGATATGCTGGGGACAAGCATCAACGGAGGACTTTTCTCTGAGCTGAATTGTGTATCTTAAAATGACAAATTTTGTTCCAGACTTGTCAGAAAAATGTTTCCATACCTTTCTCAAATTGGAGAAATCTAACTTCAAAAAAGGTAAAAAATGCTTTACTTTTTAATTTAGGTTTCATATTCCTGTCCACAATCCCAAGAGAGGTGCGTTTTAAAGGAGAAAAGATGTGGCTCTCTAGGTATAAATACAACTCACTATATAAATAACAGCGATACAGTATAAAAAAGTAGTTACCACCACAGTGCTGTCAGGGTATGGAAAAGCAGAGAAGACAATGGTTGTCAAGGAGGAGGAACTCTACAGTAAGCAGCCAAAGGCAGCAAGGAGACTCTTGCATTGCGAGACAGTAACGGGTGTACCAACAAGGTTAAAGCCACGTGGCAGAATAATATGGTTTCCCCTCCCCCCCCACCAGTGTTCCAGAGGTGAGAAAACAGTCACGAAAAAAATAAACTTTTTATAACGTGGTAGGGCAATATATATTCATTTTGCAAAAACAGTGTCTCCACTGCAAATATTCTTAGGAGCCAGGAACTTCAAAAGAAATAGTATCTTCTTCAGAGTGAGTGGACTACATCATGGTTCCCTCCAAATCAGTGGCAATACTCCTGAAAAGGTGTAATTTAAAGGGTGAACACCGGGTTGCAACCTGTGTACTACGTGCGCCTAGGACCGCTCTGCAGGAAGCGCTGTGCAGGGCTCTGTGGCGAGGTCCCCGGACTGGACCTCCAGGTCTGGATGGTCAGGAAAGGGTTTATGTGTGGGACTGGCCCTAACGGCGCCGGGCGGCGGGGGACCCCTCCCCGGGCTTCAAGCCCTCAGGGTCGCCTCCACGGAGGTCACCGCCCACTTCGGGGGCGCCCAGGTGAGCGCCCCTAGCGCGCCGGCATCCCCAGTGGACGCGGTGGGCGGGGGGCGGCGGCCGGCTGCGGGCCCCCCACCCCGGGCCGCCGCCCCCGCCCGCGGGCCTCGGGCCGCGTCCCCGGCCGCGAGGGCGCGGGAGAAGCCCAGAACTTCCCGCCCGGGAACGCGGCCCCCTCCCGGCCCCGGCGGGCTGGGGATGTTCTCGCGAGAGGAGAGGGGCGCGGGGCAGCGCGGGCTCGGGGGGCGCGAGGGAATCCTGAGGACGAGGGCTCGGCTGGGCGGGGTGGCGCGGCGGCGGGCAGGACCGGGACGCGGGGAAGCCGCTCCCGCCAGTCGCCGAGAGCCAGCTCCTGACGTCAGGAGTTTTCCTCAAAGTCAACAACAAGCCCCGCGGCGGCGGCGGCGGCGGCGGCGGGGACCGAACGGCGGCGGCGGCCCCGGCGGCGAGGCAGGAGGGGCGGGGAGGCGCCCCGGGCCCGGCCGCGCCCGGGAGAGGAGGCCGCGGGGCCTGACGCGCGCGGGGCGCGCCCGGGGCCCGAGCCTCCGGCCCGGCCGCCGCGCGCGCGAGCCCAGCCCCCGCCCTAGCGGAGCGCTCTGGTGATGAATTGAATTTGTAGCCGATATCCGATTCCCATGTAGTCTCCGCCTCCTCCCCCGCCGCCGCCTCCCGCCGCCGGCCCCCGCCCGCCGCCGCCGCCGCCCGCTCCAGCTCCGCGGCCCGGCCCGGCCGGCTCCCTCCCTCCTCCCTCCCCGGCAGCCCTCGCCCGCCCGCCGCCCGCCGCCCGCCGGCCGCACCGGGCTCCAGGGGGGCCAGAGGCTCTGCGGGGTGGGGGGAGGCTAGGAGGGGAGGAGGAGGGAGGGGGGACCCCCGAGTCGCCCCTCTCCTCCCCCCGCCCCCCCGGCTCCATCCTCCGCCGCCGCCCGAGCAGCTGTGGGGCCGCCGCCGCCGCCTTGCAGGTAACAGCCGCCGCCCCGCGCTCGCGCCGCTCCCGCCGCGCCCCGGGCCCGGGCCCAGCCCCTCTCGCGCGCCCCGGGCGGGGTCGGCGGCGGGGGGGCGTGGGCGTCGGGTTGTCAGCGCCGGGGGCGGGGGCGGGGGCCGGCTCCCCGCGGCGGTGGGTGTGGGTGGGAGGCCGCGGGACGCCCGCCGCGGCGACTCCGCGCCCCTCACTGCCCGGGGTTGGCTGGGGGGCGGCGGCGCGCGCGGGGCCGGGGTGGGTGTTCCCGGCCTAGCGGTACCGTCGGCGTCTGGGCGGCCCCGGCCCTGGCGGCTCCGGCCTCCGCGCAGCTCTCGCTCCCCCGCCCCCCGCCCGGCCGCGGGGCGTGAGGAGGGGGCGCCGTCCGGCCGGGGGCGGCGGCGGGTTATATAACGCGCCGGGCGCCCGTGCCGGTGTGTTTGGGTTGGGGGGAGGCGGCTGTCTGCGCGCTCGCGGGCGCCGGGGCTGTCAGCGCGCGGGCGGGGCGGGGGCGAGGATGCTCCGGCGTCCCCGGGGTCTCCTTCCTCCCCCGCCCGGCCCCGCCGCTGGCGCCCGGAGAGAGACGGCGCTGCCGGGGTGGGGTTGTGTGTGCGCGTGTGTCTGTGTGTGCGCGTGTGTCTGTGTGCGCGCGTGTGTGTGTGCGCGTGTGCGCGCGTGCGCGCGCGTGAAGTGGGTAACGTGCTTGTCTGTGTTTTTAATAGTAGTGGGGTTTTGATCCGCTTGGGAGTTGTGTGCTAAGAATAGAAAATGTGCGGAAGATGCTGGGTTTGGCGGATCCAGTGATGCTGTCGCTGCTGGCGGCGGCGGCTCCCGCTGCAAGTAAACAAACCAACCTCTTCCTCGGCCACCTCCTGCGCAGCGGTCGCATCAGCCATGACGCTGGCGGGGCCCTGCGGCCCAGAGTTGGAGGCCACCCCGACTCACGGACCGGTCGTCCCTTGTTGGGGATTTCCCCGGGTCCTACAGTCGGGCTAGATTGAATTTTTGAGGGTCCAAGTTTTCCATCCTGGTACTCACTGCTCATCTTCTGACAGCATTAGAAATCATTACCCACACGTCGTGGTTAGGCTGCACTCACATTTCCATCAAAATAATGTTCTGAAAACTCACTTTGCTAGTGTGGTAACTGGTTCAAACGCCAGTCGTTTGTGATTGACAGCATTTCCAATCAAATCAGCAGTCCGGTGTATTATATTGATTAATTGCTTAGTGCTAATAAAATGTTGACACTTTTAAATAAGTTCATCTTATTTAAAAGATATAGAATGACTTTTTGCCATTACTTGCCATGTGTGTTCGACATCAGGAAAAGCATGGTCATGTATTTTTTAAAGTAGACTATAAACCATTATCACTAGGTTTTGTTTTTGTTGGAAAATCATTAAATTAGGTTGTATATTAGGAAATACTGGAAAAAGCCAAAGTTGGAAGAGTCCAATAAAGGTAGTTTAGACAAGGTTGGCGTTAGAACTTATCGTTGCTAAATGTGTATAAATGAGTAAGACTATTCCAGGAGGTAGGATACGGACACACACACACACACACACACACACACATATTCAGGAGTTGGTTGTCTAAAACACAAACCTTTTTTAAAATGAAAATATCTACTTATTAGTATTGCTAGTTTTCCAGAGTATATTACTGAATGTTTAATTATATGCCAGCTATAACAGGGCTTGATTTTTTTTTTTTTTTATCTTTACCAAGGAGACTGTATTTGAAAATCTTTTTGCTTGTCCTGCTAGGTTTGACCCTAATATCATTGATTGGTTTGGACTTCTAATTTTAAAGTGAGGAAGTGCATATATCACAGGAATGAGGCAACATTGGAATTTAGATGAATGTAGACTTTCAGTCTTCAGTTGTATATATACTGTTTGTGTTTGCAGTAGTATGTTTTCTTGCAGTATTTGTCATATGTAATATAAAGTAATTCTGAGAAAACATGTTATGAACTTGTTCATGCACTGTGCGCCCTACCTTAGCTTTTGGATGTGGTTAGTGAATTGTTTTCCAAATTAAAATTAATGCAAGTTTGACATTGACTCAGTTTTGTTTATATCAGAGTACTTATGGATTCTGTTTTGAATATTTTTTGTTTATATAATTTTATAACTAAAATTTTAAGTAAGTTCTATTCATTTAACACATATTAGTCTTACCTGTGTGCTTGGGACCAGTTTGAGTAAACTTTTACTGGTTTGCAGTTAGTCCAGAAGATCTCTACTGTTGGAGAATTTATTTTCAGGATCACAGTAAATATAAATGTGTTGATTAAATGGAACATGGGACAGATATACTTAGCATAGAGATAGAGCCTTGTGCAAAGTAGAGATTTAAAGCTATTTAAATGCAAGCATTTGATTTAAACATGATTTTTCTTTCATACAGGAATTTGATGGAAATTTCCATTTTTTTTTAAGAGAGGTACTTGTTTTATGAATTGATTTAGTGGCAGTTTAGAGTTTACTTAAACTTTCCATATTTTAAGACAAGATAGCTATACTTTCTTTGTTGTTATACCTTTTAGTTATAAAGAATTCCACCTTGGGAAAGTAAGGCGATTATTGTTTATTGACATGGTTGATTTGGTAGGGTCTTGTCTTTCTAGCATGATTAAATTTGAAGCATTAAAAAAGTAATTTAAAGTCATTTAGATTTGAATAATGTGAGATGCATTATAGAAAAATAAACCATTTTCATTTTGTTTTGACCAAACCATTCTTGTAATTTGACTTGCATTTCAGTTTCTCTTAAGTTAATATAAACTTAAAAAGTTAATGAAATAATTTTTGTAGATTTGTGTCAGAATATTTAAATATGTTTTTGACTCTAACGTTCAGGGTGTGCATCAGGATTCTAAATCCTGGCTTGAGCATGTGCTTTTCTCTGTAGTTACCTGGAAAGATACCCCTGAATTTTCTAATGTTAACTTAAATATTTTACCACTGTCTTTTATGTCTGATAGAGCTAGATTCAGTTTAGAGTTAAGGCTAGCCATTACCTACTGAACACTTGCCATGTGCCAGACACACTTATAAGTGCTTTAATTGTACAAATTCATTTAATATTCATAACAGCCCAACTACACTTTTTAAAGTGATTTTCACATGAGCAAACACTTATTCTGGCTTAATAAAAATCCATTTCATTGTATTTTTCCTAATTCTAAGGCACATTTTATTTTAGTGTTTTTCCTAACTTGTTCGTTCCTGTTACTGATGATCTTAAATCTTGATAATATAGTTCAATAATTTCAAAGGATATAAAGTTAAGATAGTAAAAATAATGATTAGCATTCATTTTCATTTTAGTTCTTTGAAATGCCTAATTAATGCCTCAATTGTTTACATATTTTATTGTAGTACAAAGCCTTTCAACAAATACATGTAAACACATGTCCTTTGCAGGTAATCTTTAAATAGTAGTCCGCAGATAAATTGATGTGTTTCTTGACCTGTAGATTTGCCTTTTCTTTATTTTTCTTTTTGATCTGTGTATCACCAGCTGCAGATATTTCATATTTGTGAGTACATTTTGCTGATATTCAGAGGGAAAAATAAAAAGGTATACTAGATAAGAACAATTACTAGAAGACTTTCAAATGAGAATGTTGCTCTCCTATGTTAATTTAGAAAGCCTCTGACTACGGTTAGGAGGCTGAAGGCTTGGAGGGGCAGGAAGATGGTATTATGCTAATATTGGCGTACAGTCCAAATTTTGATTGAGTGCAATTAATATTTGAATGTTTTATCCTCCCAACTATATGTTAAACTTTTGAGGCTAAGAACTATGTTATCATAATGTCACCTAATATGCCATCTTAGTAGATTAAAAATCATAAATACTAACTCTAGAAGTGCTGCAGAGCTATCTAAAATTCATCTGATGCTGCACTTTTATGATGAGGAAACTGAGGCATAGAGAATTAATAGACCTTATGCAGTATTACTCTGGGTGGGGTAGAGTTGTAAATAGGGACTCAAATCTCCACCTATCCAGTGCTCTTTCTAATGCACCTTTGTCATTAACTTTGGTTTATAGAATTCAGTACCTATTGGTTAGCTGTCAGTTTAACATGGGTAAAATCTACCAAGCTGATTCTTGGCATTTAATGGTTCATATGCCAGTTGTGTTTTGTGTGTTAATGAGGGATTTTTTTTTTCATTTTATAATCAGGAAGGCCCCCAAGTCATGTTCTAAAAGAAGGATGTGTATTGGAGACACAGTACCAGCCATGCAAAAGAAATTTTTTGGGTAGCAATCTTTAAACCTGCCTGTGTTATAGGTGCCTTCAAAAAGACACAGACCACTTTTTACATGAGAAACGTAGGGAATAATTTGTCAGTAGCTTTTCAATGATTTAGGTAAGCCAGAGGAATTTAATGATTTGCATTTTTATTTGATTAATTGTATGTATTGGCTGCAATGACATTCACATGCCCCAACCAGGAGTAGGAAAGAGGGGGAACATACCTACCTTATGTTTTTGACTATATATTGCAAAGTTGGTTTTTAAAAATTGAAAATTTGGCAATTTGTGTGAAAGTTAGAAATGCTGTCTATATTTGTTCAGGTATTTTGCCATAGTGTAAAAATCAGTGAAGGCATTTAGAGAGGAAGCGTTTTAAGAAAATCCAAATCCATTAAGTTTAATATTTTACTCTGATGAGAGGAAAGGTGCCCAAAGGTGTCAAAAAATGCATTGTTTTTGTGGCTTCCCTATGTGAGATGTTTTTTGAAACAGGATAATAACCCAAAGGTACACTCTGACTTGGAGTTATTTGATGTATAGAGTGAGATGCCTTGAATTTTGCTTCCATTTCAGTATTTTTCCTTTTTCTCAAATCCTTTTAAAAGTTATGGTTAGCCTTATACTTTTATTATGGCACAGATTGTTTTTACCTATATCTTGAAATCAGTAAATACTATGGAGTTATATTATGGTTATTCTTGGCCATCATGTGTATTTCAAAGCAATATTCTATTATATTTGAATATTGTTCTTCTTTAATTCATTTTGACTAACATCTAAAATACAGAAATTATGATGTGAATATATTGTATATAATATTAACTATAGTCAAGTTTATAGCTTAGACAAAGTTGTATTATAGAATTGTATTATAACTTTAGCTTAGAAATTAATGTGTAGGAAGTTATTAACCTATGAATTTCCTTATTTGTGAAAAAGAGAATGGGGGTAACTTTTAACTTTGTTAACACACTTAATTTGATTTGTGCTGCCATAGGTGTGTTTGTTTTTTAATTTATTTAAAAACATTGTGTTTTACTAGACATCTGAAAAATAATTTGATACAGAAAAAAATGTTAAGAACTATTCACAAATGTTACACATATTCTTGATAGTTCAGGTTGTGTTATTTGGTAGAACACCTGTCACACTGATAGAATTGCAGGTAGTCACTCTTGCTATTCGTCATTAACATGTTATTGTACCTGTGAGGAAGCAACGTCATCAATATTAGTTGGTGACAGTTTTCCTAGGTTCAAAATTGTGGATGCAGTGTCTATGGCACAGATTTTTTTTTAAGAGTCAGGTGAGATGATATAAATATATATATTCACTTTGATAACAAATTATAAACTTGGAAAAGATTTTAAATATTTGCCTCTCTGTGTGCTCAACATAGTCCTTGTCATAGAGTAGATAACCAATACATATTCATTGACTCACTGACAAATAGATGACTGTAATGTGATTTTTGAGTAAATGATATTTTTAAACAATGTTTAAGAAGCATATTACTACTTAAAATTGAATGGCTGGTTGCTCTGAGTAAATAAATATCTTTTAAACATTCTTACACATGTCATTAAGAAAATAGCTTGTTTTTCCTCTTTTTCCTGTCATAGTGGATAATTTTGGCTGGTGGTGGTGCTTGATTTGACCATCTCAGCAAAATGTCAAAAGATGTCCAGGGAAAAAAAAGTGTGTTCTTATAATTAATAGAGCTCTATAGTAAAGATACTTTAATGAATAGGGAATAACTTTTCATTATAATTTTAACTATTAAGATTTTTACATAATCTTTCAGTTCAGGGTTCTGCCCCTCCCCCCCACTTTATCTTTATAAAAGATTCCTTAATATCATTCTCTTTTGAGTTAACTTTATTTTGCTTAGTCTGTTCTTTATTATCTAAAGCTGCATCTTTGTTCCTTCCTTCACTCACTCATGTTTTCTATATTTATTGAGCATTTCTTATGTGCCAGACACACTCAAGTTGCTTTATTAAGTAATAATGATAATGAGTTAGATAAAAGATGTGAAAGTATTTTATAAATTGTAAAATGACATTCAAATACAATTATCAGTTTTTCAAATAGTTCTGAATGAAAGTACCTTTGTTATAATTGCTTTGCATAAGATCTCAGTTAAATCTACCAAAAATCTTGTGTGAAATTTTTTATAAGAATGGGAAGAACTTGATTATCTAGCAATGAATATTTTAAAGTAATAGGTTTAAAAGGAAATTACTCCAGATTTTGTCTTTTATCGTCGTTGGATACTACACAGTTTTAGAGAAGTTAGGAATGTAGGAGGGGGAGAAGTTCACCCTACCTTAGAGTACATACTACAAACCTGAAGTCCACTTCATCATTTTGTTTTTTGGAAGACTCCAGTGGGAAAGTGTAGATGACTTGGTACAAGAGTTTTGCCACTGTAGGAAAATTAAACCAAAGTGGTTGGTTTATTGTTTAAGCATCAATAGCATTGTTTCATGCACAAGAGAGAGCATTTATTTATATCTTCTCGATGATACTAGTTTTTGGAATAACAGTTTCATTATAAAACAAAATCCATTCTCCTTGGGTTGAATTGAATGTTTTGGTTTCTTGTTTTGTAACGAAGAAGCAGTGATAGTGGAAAGAGCATGTGTCTGCTTCTCTGTCCTTAGTTCTTGTAAAAGAGCTACTTGTGAAAGTATCTCTGTGACCTTGGACAAGTCACATCTTTTGATCTGTTTCTTCAGCCATTAAATGACCAAGCTTTCCGGCTTTAAGATTCTAACAGAGGAATATCCACTTAAAAAATAAAGTCAACTTCGAAAATACTTTTGTTTTTCAAGTGTTCTTTATATAGGGGTATTCTAATGTAAATTATTCATGGTACAGTAGATATAAAGTTATTGGTAATGTGTTATTTTTTCGTTATTTCTAAGTGTTGCTCTTTGATCTCTTCTACAGTCAATGTCATTAATATTAAGATAAGAATTTTGTTTTACCCAGATTATATAGTTTTTTAGTCAGAAACTGAGAATGGATTTAAGTGGTGTGAGGCTGCTTGCTTCAGGTACTACCAAAAAGAAGACCTATGGTGCAGCTCAACTAAAGATATTTTGCACTAAACTACCCAATATTTAGCTTCCTTATAATTATGTAGTTAACTCTTTCAGCTACATTATATAGCAGCTGACAATGTTCAGTTCTTCAGAAAGTTACATGAATCAAATTGAAATGTTTGCATTTTTATTGAAGTTTCTTTTGCCTGTTTTTGTTGGTAAAATGGAACTTTTCTTGAATTATATAGCCATTTTCCATGGCTGTTCCCCAAGATGTGTTTTCCATTGTATACATGAGAGAGAGGAGAGGAAAATAAAGATCCTTGTGGAGTTAAATATGTTTAGGATTTGCTGAGATAAATAGGTTACATATATATTGTACTTTTAGTATGTTAATAGTAACATTTCAGGAGAAAAACATGTTTTGTGGAATTGACCAAAGACTTTTTTTTTTTTAATCTTTTTTCATCCTTTTCTGAAATTTCTCTTATTCTGTCCAGTGTATTTTGGGGAAATACCCTGGATTTTAAATCCCTTTTTAACTATGTAATGTCCAGCCTCCATGATTTTGAGGACAGTCTTGTCCCTACCTGATGGTACTTCCTCAACCTAATGTACATGAGGGGTGTGGTGGGATGTGATCTTCTATTCAGCCACACAAACTTTGTCTGCTTTCTTCAGAGGATGTTAGTCTTAATTCCTGATTGCTAAGTGATTAGACTGTGTACTTTTTTGTAGCTGTAATTAAGTTCAGTATTAGCTAGGGAGTCTCCAACTATATTTATATGCATTATTTAGTAAAATTTGTGGTTACCTAAAATTTATGTCTGTGTTTCTGAGCCACATACACTAATGTAACTGCACCATATTTTTGGTCCCATTCTGTGTATATGCTTTAACTCAGGTTTTTTTTTTTTAATCTTGGCATTTTCCTTCTTAAGTTGAGAGGGACAATAAGAAACAGCCCTGTAAAAGTCATTCCTGTTTATATGTGAGGATATTTTTGAGGGCTTTGTTTATTACACTGTGTGAGATATCTTTTAAAGATCCATGGGATGAATTTCTGATTTTTGTCCCAGAAAAACTTTCGAACAACTTTTTTTCCTTTTTATAAATATTTACAGATACTGTAAATATTGAAACAGATAGTTTCCTTACTTGCATTGCTTCCTGAAAACATTTTACAAGATTTGTGATCCATCTTTCACAAACATGTGGACTTTTACTCTGGCTTCTTTTTATCTTTCGTTAAGACAATAAAATAGTTTTGGAGTTAAGAATGCAGGCTCTAAAGTTAGACAGGCTGGGTTCAGATCTTTGCTCCATCATTTATTAGTTGTTTGAAATTGGGCAGGTTGTTTTTTTCCTTTGTGAGCTTAAGTTTTACCCATCTTTAAAATGGGGTTTATAGTACTCTTAAAGAGTTGTTGTGAAGATTATCTGAGAATAGTAGATGTGAGCACTTATATACAGTTGTTCCTTTTTTTTTTTAACAGTAGTTCTTGAAACATCTTCAATAGGCCATTTTTTCACCCTTGTTTCATTTTGTCTAACTCTGAAAATAATTGATTATATATTATTTGTAATATTTTATTTCTTATAATGTACTTAAAATATTTCTTGGAACAAGCCATAATAAAGCAGACCTAGTGTTTTTGTTTTTGTTTTAGCATATTGTATTTTACATAAAATAGCAGCTAAAAAGATTCACAATTGCATGTCATAACATAATGAATTTATAAGAATTTTGAAAGTAAACATGTACGAAGATTTAGTCCACTTTAATTCTTGTTGTCCTGCATTTCAAACACATACCACCAAATACATTTTTCTTTATTATTTGTGTAGGTTTGGCAGTGGTTTTCTTAGGACATTTTTCATTGCAACCTCTTAGATTAAAAGTTACACTAGCATTTGAAATCTGTCATAAGACCAAGGAAGTGCATTCATTATGGAACTATTTAATAAATAAGTTCCCTAGTTTGAAGGACTAGACATTTTTTGTGAAGTTAGGCCAGTTAAAGACATTTACAAAGAATTAGTTGTTTGTTATTGCTATGTGAGTTGCAAGAATGGAAAAAAAGAAATTCTTTCTTCAATACTTCCTTCCAGGCTGAGTCATCACTAGAGAGTGGGAAGGGCAGCAGCAGAGAATCCAAACCCCAAAGCTGATAACAAAGTACCATTTCTCCAAGTTGGGGGCTCAGAGGGGAGCCAACATGAGCGATGTTACCATTGTGAAAGAAGGTTGGGTTCAGAAGAGGGGTAAGTGTTCAACAAAACCAAAAACAATATGGTTGGTAAGTGTGCTGAACAGTGGTGTCCTGGAAGCATTTTTTTCTGGTGCTGTTAACAACGTAAACTCTGACATACTATGTCCAGTAAAAAAATAAATAATATTTAACACAGTTATTAGGAATTTGCATGCTATTTAGAGGTTCTTTGTAATTCTTGATTTTGATCATGTTATAATCAGCTTATGAAGGTTTGGCTTTCTGGTATAAAATGTGAATGAATGCTTGTTACAGAAATTCGTGAGGTATTTTTCCTGTGTTGTCCACAGATTCTGCTATCCAGAGATGCCTTTAGAATGATTTAACACCTAGAAAAAAGTATTAACTAGTATACATTTAAAGACATGTAAATATATAAATGGAAGTGTTCAATTATATTAAACCAGTTTGTGTGGTAGCAAGGCAAGGACTTTTAAAGTAGAAAGGGGAAGAGTTCACTCACTAACTGATATAGTCAACAATCTCATAAATTAGGTAAGTAAAGTCTTTGAAGTTAAAGACTACATGAGGAAAGGGTTTGTGTGTGTGTGTGTGTGTGTGTGTGTGTGTGCGCGTGTTTAATTTTGTATTTTTATTTTTCGTGGTATACTTTTAGTATTATTCACTCCTGCATTATATAAAAAACTCAAATGCATAATTACCTTTTTTAGTATTAAAGGGAGAATTCTTTAGTGTAAAACTTAGTTTGTTTTCCAGAAGATTACCTATGAATGTGGCCAATGTGTTTACTAGCAATCTAGAGTTTTGACTAGTTGCCGGGGAACTATTATTTATGCATAGGACCAAATTGAGTAGATTAAAGACTGTTCCATTCTCAATAGTTTTAAGTTCCTATATACTTACTGTATAGTTAAAAATTAGCTTTTAAATAGTGGTTTTAACTTTTTTCTTGAAGGTTTGTATTTATTACCTATGCTAAAAAGTTGTCAGTAGCTAAATGTGATCATGTATAATTGAATTTTTAATAGGCCTCAGTTGTAATATATGTAATAATAATCAAAATTTTAAGTGAATTTGATGAATTTTACCAAATTTATACAGCAGTGTAACAAACCCTGGAATCATTATATAGGACATTACTGTTATCTCCAAAACTTCCCCTATGTAGTCAGTCCTCTTTCCTCAACCTTGGCAACTATGATTACTGTAATTTTGCCTTTGGATAATTTGATATAAATAGATATGTAGGAAGTAGATAGTCCTTTCTAGTTATTGGGTTGTCGGAAAAGTCATGACGCATAGAAAAAAAATGTTAGGGCTTTTCTGACAACCCAGTATTTTTTATATTGTGCAATACATGTTTTGTGTATATTATTTTTTTCTTTTTATTATTGAATAACATTTCCTATCTTAAATACCACAGTTTTTTAATTTCTTTACCAGTTGATGTACATGTGGGTTGTTTCTAGTTTTGAGCTATTAAGAATAAAGCTGCTTTAACATTTGAGTGCACGTCATTGTATGTTGTGTTTTCATTCTTCTTGGGCAATAATCTAGGAATGAGATTTCTGAGTACTATGGTAAGTGTATGTTTAACTAAAACTGCCTAGCTATTTTCCAGGGTGGGCAACTGTTTATATTAAGATTTATTTCCTTCATGTTATTTCTAGTACTGCACAGTTGGGAAGCATTTTCAGATTTCAGTGTTGTATGAGTATTTTTTTAAACTTAATCTGTTTACATCATTTCTCTATTTTATTTTTGACTGCAAATCACTTAAACCTTTTAGAGTTTTACTTGAATAATCTCTAAAATCTGTTCTCTAAGATTGTTATGAGGATTAGATGAGATAATGGACATGATTGTGTTTTGATAATTGTAAAAAATGTGAGCTATTCATTTCACCGGATTTTTGAAGGTTATAGGGTGATTTTTGAGTATAATTGGGTCTTGAGTGAAATATCCATTGTAGAAGGTTGGTATATATTGTATGAGATTAAAAAGAAGTGAAAATAATTCTTCAGTTTTTTTCCTGCATTGGCTAGAGAAGGGTAATAATAATGTGAGTGTCTACGTATTTATTTCTGGAAGTTATAGTCATATAAGCAAGAATAAACCAGCAATGTGAATAGTATACAAAGTTATAAGAGGAAAAGTAAAAAATCATTCTATCTTCCAACTAGTTTCTTTCCTCAGAAGTGACCCCTTTAGATCTTTTTAGTTTTTATTACTATTATCCTAATTTTATATATTCCGATTATATATGTAATTTATATATAATATTTATTTTTTTAAAGATTTATTTATACAAGAGCTGGGATACAGGCTAGCGGCGCGAGAGAGTGAGAGAATTCACCAGAGAGAGAGTGGGGGACAGAACAGGCAGACCCACCAAAAACGCTGCTGGGGGGAACCTGCGAGATAGGAGAGGTCTGCGCACCATGTGGGTATCTCCCTGGCCTGCCGTATTGAACCCACGCCGCAGAGGCTGCAGACAGCTTCAGGGCACTGCACTCAACTTGCTGTGCCAGCGGGAGGCCCTATATAATCTTTAAACCATATTTTAAACTAATCTTAAGTAATCTAATATGTCCACATAGTGAGTAATGAAGAATTTGACTTTTTAGTACCTCTGTTCTTCCTTTTTTATTTTTTGGTTGCCTTTATGGTTAAACTTCTAGCTCTTACACCATTTACTCTAGAGAGTATTTAGATATGTTTCTAAACTTACCACTTTATAAGTTCAGAAAATTTTGTACCCCTCACAATATTTTCTTTGCATTCATCACATTCCATACCCAATTTATGTCAACTTGAGCATTTTATTTTATGTTGTTAAGGTTTATAATGTACACTTTGTTGATTCTGAAAAGCAGTAAAAAATATGATTATATAAGTAATATTCATTGTGATAAAAGTGTTAGGATGAGTATAAAACCATGGAGAATAAATGGATTTCTTATACACTTTTGGTATTCAACATCATGCCATACTTTAGTCTGTTTAGGTTGTAGCTTTTTTCTGGATTTTCTAATTGTCATGTTTCCTCCCTATTGGTAGAAAAGTGAATGCCTTCTTTATATTACTTGTTTATTCAGCTTTTAAATCATACTATATGTTGAAGATCTAATATAAACTGATATTTTTGGGGGTATTATTCAGCTAATGTCATGTTATTTAATTGCATTTTCAGACAAGTTTGATAATTAAATTTCATGTCTTTTTTCTTTGGACTTATTTTACAGTTTTGTAGAGTACCTCTTGAAATGATTTTTTTTTTTTTCAGGAAAAATGTGTGTGGGTACTTGTCATATGTTTGGAAATTTCTTTTTCACTTTAACACTTGATATATAAATTGGATAGGTATAGAATACAGACTTAAAATAATTTTCATACAGAATTTGGAAGGTTATATTTTATTCCACTTAGTAGCCAGTTCTATGATAAGAGATTTGGTTTTATTATGAATTATTTCTTTATAGGTAACCTGTTATTGTTTGCCGGAAGCTTTCTGTTGTGATGCGTCTTTATACTTGGCGTTATGAATGTTTTTTTAAAGATTTATTTTTTATTTATACAAGTGCTGGGGTACAGGTCAGATGTGCGAGAGGGTGAGAGGATTCACCAGAGACAGAGCGGGGAACAGAACAGGCAGACTGACAAAATACACTGCTGAGGGGAGCAGCGGGTGGGACAGGAGAGGTCTGCTTGCCATGTGGGTTGCTCTGAGGCTGGCGGGGATTGAACCGGCACTGCAGAGGCTGCGGACAGCCTCACAGCACTGTGCTCAACCGCCTGCGCCACCAGGGAGGCCCATTTTGGCATTATGAAACTTAAGGAGGATGAGTTAGTCCTTTTTCACTCGGCTGATAAAGCATTGATGGAAACTTTGAATATACAGCCTCTCTCTTTCTGCAGTTCTGCGAAATCTTATGTATTTCTTTCATTATTTCTTACCTTCTGTGAATTTTTTTAATGGTTATTTTACCTAAAATTTATATGTCGATGCTCTTTTAAAAGTTTTCTTTCATTTTCCACACTTTCATTTTTCCTCTTTTTTGTGGAAGAGTTCTGTGATTTCTTTTAGTACATTGTTTTTTATTTCAGCTATTCATATTTCTGGTAGCTCTTTCTAGTTCATGGCCACCTGCTCCTATTTAACAGGTATACTATCTTTAACCGTGGGACACTTATTAGTTCTTATTTTCACATTTTCTTTCCTCTTTGAAGAATTCTTTCAATTTGTTTACTTTGGTGACTTTGTTTTCTTCACGTGTCAGGTATTTTCTATTTGTCCATCTATATTAGTGAATGAAAAATTGAGGTTACTGATAGTATCCTCTCTTTCTAAAATTTGTGATTTTTTGCTGTATTTATGACAAGTTAGGTTTACTGAATGAGGATTTGTGGTAGTATTATATTTAACTATTTTCTTAAAAGCATTAGAAACAGGGCCTCCCCGGTGGTGCAGGTGGTTGAGCCCCACACTGTGAAGCTGTCCGCAGCCTCTGCAGCACCGGTTCGATCCCTGCCAGCTAGGGTCCCACATGGTGGAGCAGACTTCTCCTGTCTCGCCTGCTGCTCCCCTTAGCAGTGTATTTCGTCAGTCTGCCTGTTCTGTTCCCTGCTCTGTCTCTGGTGAATACTCTCACCCTCCTGTGCATCTGGCCTGTACCCTGGTCCTTGTACAAATAAATAAATAAATAAACAAACAAACAAACAAACAAACAAATAAATAAATAAATAAAAATCTTTAAGCATTAGAAACATAGTTGAGGGCCTCCCCTGGTGACACAGTGGTTTAGTGCTGGGCTGAGAGGCTGCCCGCAGCCTCTGCAGTGCCGGTTCGGTCCCACAAAAAAAAAAAAATAGTTGAGATACTAGAGCAACCAAATTGGACTTTTTTTCTCCATCATTCTTAGTTTACTTCTTTAGAGATTTTTGGTATTTAAATTCTAATTTTGTGTTTCAGTCAAATTTTATTATAAAGTCCATTGTTTGTTTGGCTGTATTTTGCTTCAAACTTTCTTC